TCCCAATTAAGCAGAATCGACTGTACATGAAAACAAAAAAGTAAAAACTTTAATTGACAATTATATTTTTCTTTTCTTATAGCTATTTGTATTTCATTAAAATGTAAATAGCTCTTAGTAACAAAAATAAAGAATTCTAAATAATTATTTCATCTCATCTCATTCTCAGAAATTATTTAACTAACACCCCAACGATTCTGACAATAAAGTCAAACAGGATTTAAATATTTAACAAAGAAAAGCACTGCTAAACTTAAAGTTATCAATTTATTAATAATTGAAACATTTTAGATAATCGTTAGTACTGAATACCAATCTAAACAAATAGAACAAATCTTTACAAATTAAATTTTATGATAATTTAAATTATACATTAGGCTTACAACACTAAAATTTTTATTAACAAAGAAAACTTTTGATTCTCTTATTAACTGATATAAAAGTTAATGCAACTTAAAGGAATTCCTTATTTTGTTTTAGTAACACTATGTATACTCCCTCTTTGTTCTTTTCTGATAAATCATCTTTATCTGGACATAAATAATTTAATATTGATGAAAGCCTTTTACTGCTGGCCCAAACTGGTTTATCTTTAATTCAGAATTTTAAAACAATATGCTTAAAATTAAAATCAATATGCTATATTTCCATCTGTTGTAATATATTGCTTTTCTACAAGTTTGAATTTCTCAACTAGTTTTTATCTTGTATATTCTCTATACTGCATCCTAATTTTACCAGATATAACTTTCTGACTTAAAAAAAAAAAAAATAATTTTTTTTTTTTTTTTGGAAAATCATGTTTTATAGAAATATTAGAGATTCCACTTAGCTCAATGTTTCTATCAATAAATATTGATGAATGTATGAAGAATCTTTAATAAAAAGATGCAAATATGTTTTAGTATTAGTATCAAAAGATATTTGTTATGAATAGTAAACAGATTTCAATATATACTCAGATTCTTTAAATACTATGACACATACACCTTATGTCTCTGATAACCAATATTTATTGTTTTACATACATTTTGTATGTAAAACAATAAATACATAAAATACATAAAACAATAAATACATCTGTAGGGAAAAGGACTTGACTGTGATGAACCATGTGTTCATCACAGTCAAGTCCTTTTCCCTACAGAAATCAATCAATCTTTCACCTCTATCATTACGTTCTCCAAGTCCCCAGGGGCCAATAACAATTCCTTCTCTTCCTCTTCCATAACTTATTTGTCGTGAATAATTCAAGAATTGAATTATAAATTGCAGTTAGATTACTCAAAAAGTAGATTGATGTGTTTATCAAACTTATTTTATATAAATCAATTCTTTTAAACATAACTTTTATTTAAATAAAAACCACATTGCAAAAAGATATACAGTCAATTCTGTTTAATTGGACCACCAGTTAATTGGGGCAGCTGTTTTATTGGACTAAATCCCAAAAAATGGAAACCAAACTAATAAATTAATACATAATTGAATCACTTAATTGGGGCAGTAGGAGAAAAGGAATTTAGCAAATTTAATATATTTTAGAGATCGTCCAAAAATATTAGACACTACATACACTAATGTCATGTAGGCCTAATACTTGGCAGAGACAAAGCGATTTTGTCTTTCACTTGGGCAGTTCAATTTTTCTGGAGAGGGTCACCTTAGCAAGACATATGACACAGGTAACCCATCTGAGATGGACATGAATGTGAGCTACTGACCCTGCTCTGGATTGGACTGGAAGGTCCTTTAAAAGCAAAGGGGCAAAGATTCCTGAACAGTTTTTCAAGGCCTCTCGAATGAGTTGGAAGACAGCTAAAGTTTTCTTGGAAGGTATTGTGCACATAATTACATTTAGATTCAAACAACAGCCATCATATCGTTGAGACCAGCATCCTGAGCTGGCGGATTCTATGGACGCTCGTGCCAAAGTGGCCCATCTCCAAGTAAAGGAAACTGTGCTCATAGGAAGACCATAAGGTAACTTTTGGACAAACCCTTTCCTTTCTCCCTTTTTAGGTAGAACATGTTCTAACTAAAAAGGGAGAAAGGAAAAATCGAAGGGGTAAAAGGAAAAATCGTTCAATCAGGAATGAATTAATCGGTCAACCCTTNTGCACACTCGGTAAGTAATCCTACAATTTTTTGTTTATAGCGTAGTTTATACAGATTATTTCCAAAAAAAATATACGTATTTTGGAAATGTTGAGTCAGATTAGTCTAGAATCGATTAATTTTATGGAAGAAAACCTTTCAAGCCGTAGTCCGTAAACTTCACATGTGTCGGGCTGTGATTGGAACGACTCGTAAGAAATCGGATTCCTAAAAAATGGAATGTATCTATGATCTTATAGAGGGGTTGACTGTATATTTTACTGAATTATTTTTGATAATAAATTTCCATGCCAATGGTAATCCTGTGGCATCTTGTGGTTTAAACACTTGCCAGTAAGGCTGGATCTATATATTTCAAACTTTTCTACAGTCATTGCTTAAGACAGTGAGCGCACAAATCTAACAATCTTAACCTCATTCCATTCAACAACCAAACCCTCTGTTTGTGCTACTCTGAATAGTGCTGTAGTATACTACCCTTCATTTACATCATATATATGATCTTTAAGCCTTTTGCTGAAATTCCTGGTGATGACACCTATATAGTCTTTGTTCAGGCCTAATTGATCATTTTTATATGGTATCTTGTAAACCCCAGATTGTTCTTTCTTTTTGATCATATCTTTGGCATTTCTAAACAAATTATAAACCATGGAAGCCCTTTTGTATAGTAATCTTGTATTCTTGTAGTCTGCAATTTCCTTCATGATACTGGACATTCCTCTGTTGTAAGTAAACTTAGTAACTTCTTTGTTCATATTCTGCTTTGTCTTTTTTTTGTTAGGAGTTGAGTATGAGCTTATTAACTCCTCAGTAATTTTTGCTCTAAATCCCAAGGTTCTAGCAATGGTTCTGATCCTATTCAATTCTTGCAACCTGTCATACAAGTTGGAGCAATAATGGAATGCTCTTCTAATAAGAGCTCTAAATGCCAAAAGCTTATACGTGTGTGGATCATTGGAGGAGGAAGGAATGTGTAATGGGTCATGGGTGGGCTTGATATATACCTTTGTGCTTAAGGAACCATTTTTGAAATGCCAATGTCCAAACAATGCATTTTTTGGACATTGTATGGAATATGTATAGTCCCAAAATTTAAAAATACAGTGGAACCTCAGTATACGTCTGCTTTAGAATACATCCAATTCGGAATACGTCCTGTTTAGACAAAACAAATTTTGCTCGGTATACGATTTTTGTTCGGTATACGACTTAATTCAATTATACGCGCCATCTATGAACAAGTAGCACTATCGGTGTATTATACCAGACTAGACGTTCGCGATGCCACAATTTATAACTTTGTTAAATTTCTTCTGATTTTAATTTGTAAGTAAAATGTTATTATTTTTATTAATCATGAATTGCAAAAAGGCAACAGAAAAAAATGACTAAAATCACAATGGAACTGAAAAAAAAGAGATTGTTGAGAAATATGAAGGTGGCACGCGTGTTCGAGATTTAACTGTTGCATACCGTATTCCGAGAACGACGATATCGACAATCGTGAAAAATAAAGACATTATTAAATTTGCTAACGTTGCAAAAGAGGTTAAATCAATTTCTAAACATAGATCGAAGACATTAAATCGTGTCGAGAAATTGCTTTTGCTTTGGATAACTGAAAAACAGTGTGCTGGTGACAGAGTATCAAAAGCAATTATTTGCGAAAAAGTTAAAAAGATACACGCTGATCTCATGAAAAATCAAGCAGGAACTAGCCAGGAAAGCGAGGTGTTTAAAGCCAGCCACTTTTTTTAATTGAGAACGGATTAATTATTTTTACATTACTTCTTATGGGAAAGGTTGGTTTGGTATACGTCCTATTCAGTATAAGTCCAAACACCAGGAACGGATTAAGGTCGTATACCGAGGTTTCACTGTATATGCAACTGAGTTTTAAGGCATATAAAAAATATGAAAAAATTAGAAAAAGAAGGAATTGTATGTAGAATTTGTTGTGTTTGTACAAAAGATAAAAAATATTATTTAGGTGAAACTGGATGAAAATTAAAATTACATATTAAGGAACATAAAGTTTCTATTAGGTTAAAACAAAGATTCCCCACAGTTCATACAAATGCAAAATAAAAAATGTTATACAGATAAAAAAGATTGTATAAAGGAAAGATTATTATTAAAAGGTGACTAAAAGAGCATTGTATTAAATATGTTATTAAAACCTACAAATTTAGTTAATTTAAATACAGGATGTAAATTAGATAAGTGCTAGAATAACATCCTAGATACATCATCAATATAGTAGAATGAATAAACTCTATTGTGTGTCAACTCACATGATGTAAAAAAAATGTAAGCCACAAATTTTAAAATGTTAAAACCTAATATATACCACTATTATGTGAATATAGTTGGTATTTTTACTGTAGTTATAAATTATAATTTTTATTATATTAAAAAGATATTTATTCATATTTTAGAACAAATAAAAAGGACTTGGATCTAGTATCTGGTTGAAATGCATATTTAAAAATTCTATATTTAAACTTGTTCACAAGTTTAAATATAGAATTTTTTAAAATAAATGTGGCTCTTTGATAATAGTGCCTTCATTTCATTATTTCAACAGTCTTGGTTAGAAAGTGGTTGTAGAATTTAATTGTGTAACATACTAGTCATATTGAGCATTATAATCCTGTTTAGTTACTTGAGGTATTTAATGTATTTGTTCTCTCTTCTACTTTTCTAAAGAAAATTGTATGAACTTGAAAATACTACAATAATGATTCTTTTTATCTTAATTACTATATTAATAATTACAAATGTTGGATTTTTGACTGTAGTAATACATATTTAAGAGAGTAGTAGTCATTTATATTTCATTTCAAAAGTAAATAAAGATAAAATAGATTCCAACATACCTATTGTACTTCCACATGGTTTTACTTCTAGTTCAGAATTAATTAATCTATTTAGGAACTCCATAGAATCAACATGAGATATACTATGTTTACTTGGACCCTCAGAAAATGAATTACGTGAACTACACTGGACAGGGGGTGTTTCTCCTTCTCTTCTTGAATTCAATTCAGTCATTTCAATATGTTCTGTTTCACTATAATATACAAGATACAGTTCAAATTCAATTATTAAATAACTTCAATATTCAATAGGAATATACCTAAAATATCATAAGTTTAAGATTATTTTAACAAAATATTAAAAAAAACTAAAATACATACTTTCTTTGAGATCTATTTTGTGTTGTTCTGGAATCTCCATCAGTAGCATCAGATTTCATAGACTCGTCACTTGATTCTTCAACACAATCTCCACTGTCAAACATTCGATGAAGGCAGACATTAATGATTTTCAGTACAGAAAACAACATTCCTACTGACGTACAATAAGAAGCCCAAACTATGACAGAAGAACTAAAGCACTAGAAAAAATATTAAAATAAGAATTATTTCTTTTCTAAAATAGATATTTAATATGTTTTAAAAGATAATGCAGATAAGTCTAATTTGAAGAAGTTACTTTAAAAATTTTGATTTCATTAATATTTTCAGAAAAAAATGTGTGGTTTTAATTTATACTTTATTTATGGAAATATTAAAGAAATTTATTAAAGCTGATTTCTACAAATAAAAATAGCCCCATAGATTAAGCAAAGGAAATATTTAAAAGTATAGCAAATCTATTTATACAAACATCTTAAAACTCAATATATACTAATAAGCCAAACAACTACCAGATTACACTGAACTACTTTTCCATGATTATCCAGGAGGTTAAGTAGCATAACTGGCAATGCATCTAAGTCCTGCTCCAGGCTGATTCTTTTCTTCCAGAATATACTAAATTATTTAATTTAATTATAGTTATTAAATTTAATAAGAGATTACACCAAATGCCTTCCTCTAGTAACAAATTATTTAAAAATTCATTAAAAATAATTGCAGAAAAAGTAGCCCAATGTAATCTGGTAGTAGTTTGGCTTCATACATCAGATCTTTGACTTAATGGAAAAAAAAATTTCTGTCCCAAAGGAAAAATTTAGAAAATTTTTTTAATTTGCAAATATATGTTAAATGGTTGGGTACTTAAATATTATAACAACATTTTAATACATCTTGTACATTGTTAGTTCATTATTAATATATGCTTTTAAAACATATTTGATTTTATAAACTTTTGGTAATAGCAGACAATCCCTCTTTCCAATTAGTCCATTAAATCCTACTATATTTCAATTACTCACTTTTCATCAGGAGAAAACTACTTTATAAGTTTCTTCTAATGTGTGAATATATTTTAAAAAATTCAATTTTCTCAGAAAACTGACAATGATGTACAGTACATCATATTTATTTTCTATTATTTTCAAATGACATTTTGTAAGTATTGTCACAGACCACAAAATCAGATATTTCCCAGATGATTAAAAAAAACCAGCATGCTGGCTTAAACAAGGTTATACATCCCTCTCCAGAAGGTGCATGGGAAAAAAGAATGAGTTACATTGTGTGGTATCTCATAAATCACTGCTTCTCAAACTTTCTGCTCATGCAACCCAATATATTTGTTTGTAATGGTTCTGCAACCCAAATACGTATAATATAAAATTTAAAAAAACCTGGTAAATTGGAGCTACTGTATATTATATTATGCATTATTTATAATAACTCCTGAAATGTAACATTGAGAACATTTCTATTAAGAGCAGTTCAGGCTAATTTTGATTTGTAACAAATAATTAATTTCAATTTCAGTTTTACTTTCCCAGCTGTTATGTATACATAAGAAAAATATTAGAATCATATAAAATTTGCAGAAATCTGAGTTTTCTGCAAATCTCCACATTTTGAGACATCCTGAACAACAAAAAAAGAAAAAGAAAAAATTTCATGGGTGTGTGTGTGTGTTGGTATATATTTCATTTAATAGCTCAGGATGGGGTGAAGATTAAGAAACAAAATTGGCACAGCAGCTTATGTATAAAGGGCATTGATGCTATTAAATTTTGGTGGCAAAAGGTTGAGGGGGAGAGATAGAGGGAGGTAATGTGTCATATCTCCAGTAGGGTGGAACGTAATAAAGATGTTATACTTTATTAACATTTATAACTTTTTATGAAACTGATCACTATCCTCAAAATTAAGCTTTTTACCATTTGAAAATAATTAAAAATATAAAAGTTATTTTCTAAATAAAATCTCATAACCATCAAGAAAGTTAGACAACTTGTTGCTGGATTTTTTTATTTTTGAAATTTAACCATTAAAAAATGTAAAACTGACAACTGTAAGTAAAACAGATTGTTTCAAAATTATTCATGAGTCTATTTTACTTTGAAAAATATTAAAAGTTTCTTTTTATAAACTTAATGAGCCTTTTTTTAAAAATGTACTGTACTTTTCAGATTGTAAGATTTTATAAATTTCAGTTTATATATATACAAAAACAAATAATATTTATTGATCCACACGTGCAAAAATTCATCTGTTATTTATTTTTTATAATTCATTGTTATGTATGACAATAAACCTAAAGGTTTGAATAAAAATAATTATTTTCAAAACCATTGCAACTTAAATGGCTTTATGACTACAACTTTACATAAAATATCTATTTTCATGTTATTCAAAAGAGAAATCAATTTCATATAAACATATTCTACAATCTTAATTTTGTTACTAAATGACAACAATAATTAGAAAGAGTAAGAAACAAATTGTTAAAAATTTTCAGTGCATAACAGATGCATCTATTCCTAGTTCTTGCAAAATATTTCAGTAATACAAATATTTCTGCAGAAGGTAGTATCATTTCATGATCCATTGCATCCCAATATTGGGTTGAACCCATAGTTTGAGAAATGCTGTTATAGATACCAGTTTTTATTCTAAAAATTGCAAAACTGTCAGCATTACATCAAAAGCTACAGTTATATGTTTAATTTATTCATTTTGTCTTCTTTCTAACAGTGTAAAATACTTGTGGAATATCAAAAGTGCAAGAAACCCCCAGGGTTGCTGGCATGCTGGTCAATCCACAAAAATATGCATTCAACGGGCAGTTCACATCAGCACCTATTTTAACAGTCTGACAGCCATTCTTTCGGACAGTAAATCAGTCTTCCAGGCAGTTGTCAATGTCAATTTTTCCTCCCCAGTGGTCATCATTGATCTAGCTGCAACAATCAGTTCACATCCCACCCCCCTCAAAATCGTGTGGACCCTGGGACATGTTGGTATCCATATTAATGAAGCGGCCAACCAGATAGCGAGCAATGACATTCTCACCAGTTCCTGGTGGAGGCCTCTTATGGCATGTGACCTCATCCATAATTTGCGAGAATTGATTACTCGCTCTTACACTGACACCTGGTCCACTATTCTCTAGAGAAAAGGTCACGACCATCTCCAACCTTTCTCATCCTGGATCTATCAACACGCATTGTCATGTCACACTGCAACTCTATTCGTCCGTCTTCACACTGATAAGGCCCCATCGAATGGGTTCCTTTACTCAAAACGCCTGCGCGTCTCGCCTGATTGTTCCCACTGTGGCTCACCAGAAACATCTTTTCATTATTGGCTAGTTTGCCTGCAGTATGCAGGGGCCCGCCAAGAGTTGGATCATTCCTTGACCTTGGATCTCACTATCATCAGAATTTTAACACCTATACATATAGAAATCTTGGAACAATTTGTGTACTGCACTAACTGCTTTGTCTAATAACTACGTGGTGTGCTTTGGAGAAAAAGCTAAAAGGCTATAGTCTCCATATGAAACAATAAAGAAAGAATCCACAAAAATATGGCACGACTTCTTGATGTTTGAATTATGGTAGGATTTTGTATCATTTTAAATAGATATGGATTAAGATATATATGTAATTTTCTTTCAATAATCTGAACAGAATATTTATTTTTCATTTGAATCTTGGCATCATTATCAATAGATGTTTCAGTTATTGTTGTCAACACCATAATATAATAATAATAATTAGTAAGTACTCAGAACTTGCTCACAAAATAAAGTGTCATACCACATACACTACATAAAAATTTAGAAATATTGGCACTTCATAATAATACATACATCATATTATAGAAAATTGACATACAAAACACTTCTCTCATATTCAAAAAATTCTTAAACACAGATATATACATGAACAGCATGTAAACAAAACACTTTTTTGTAGTTATGTGATGGAGAACCCAACTTTGTTTTGTTCTTAATTACTTATTTTTGTTTAGTTATGTTTATTTGGGGATTCTGTTTAGTTAAGGCAATTACTTTACATTACTGATGGGAAACTGGAAAAAATGAAAATTAATTAAGTTTACTGATGTGATAGATGCCATAAGATACATGACGTCAACTTCCAGAAGAAAGAAAAATAAAATAATAAAAAACAGACAAATCAAAAGAAACCATTTTATTCAATGATAAAATATTAAGTACATAATTGTCAGAACTAGAGTCACTTCCAGCAGGGAATGGATAAAACATATATCCAAGTATATATGTAAACAAAGTAGATGATGGCTGAGAACTGAACAGTATAAAAAGATGGTCATAATGTGGCAATGTTGAGGAGTGGCTTCTAGTGCTGTCAGGTGGTCTAAACTGTAAAATGATCAGAGTATTGTTTTGGCATATTTCTCTGTTTATAATTATTAGTTGTTTTATATTTTGTATTTTTGAATAACCATTGAATTTATTATTACAGTGAAAACTACTTAGGCGACCACCTGCATTCGATGGGCGCCTGTCAAAACAGGCAAAAATTTCTGGCACCAAATAGTTTATCCAGAGAGTCTTTGTATAAGTTACCTGTATTAACGACCACCTGTGTAACATGACCGCAGGCATCGATTTTTGGTCCAAAACATACAACTGTAATAAGCGACCACTTCCGCGAATATATCTGGTCTAAACTGTCGTTCGAACCCACCTTGGGCACTTCGCCCACCATTGAAATTAGGTGCAGATGTTAATGAATTAGTCTAGCAACAAAGAAAATTCATTTCAGTTTGTTCGAAAGTTCCGAAAAACGAAAAAAATGCAAAGTGCTGTCGTTAAAAGATCATGTTAATAAAGTTATCACAACAGCAATTAGCGGCAAAGTTTAACTGTGGGAAAACGAAATTTATTTTACCGTAGACCTACATTACTTTCCTTGGAGATATAAAATACTATATACAATACAATTAATCGGCTGATCTCATTGTTTGATAAAATTTATTTTTATTTATTCATTTTGAAGCTCATACAGTACATGTGCAATAAATAGTTTCTGTATCAACCTACTTTATTTCCATAATATTTTTAGAAAAATAATATCCAAGTAATTTTCGCTTGCAAAATATTCAAAAAACAATAAACGCATTAATGCAAAAATCAGTTTTACAGGCAACCTTCCTT